ACTCGGAGCCCTTTTGGACCGTCTCCCGGGCGTCTCGGGGCCCTCTGGGCGCGCTCCCAGGACCTGCCGGGGACCTGCCCGGGGGGTTGGTCGGGGGTTGGTTGGGGTACTTTTCGTCCAGGAGCCCCCGGGAGCCGCCCCGCGCGCGCGAATTAGAAATATTGTTATACTGTTGACCAGTGATCCGAGATCTCAGCGCGCCTTTGGCCCGTTGGGCCCGCAAATTCCATGGTTCGGGGGGTCTGGGATTGTTCTCGCGAAGACCTCCCAGGAATTGCCTCCTCACGTCAGGGTTTGATCCCCTGGGCCGCGTGAGGTTAGCGCGAGAGGGGCGTCTTCAGAGAAGGGGGATGTGCTTCTAAGAAGGCAGGGGCCTTCTTAGAAGCCCTTCTGGCTTGTAAGACGCCTTCTTTGAAGCCCCTAGAGGTGCGTCTAAGACGGCCCGTGCATTCTGAGAAGCCCCCCCCGCCTTCTCAGAAGGCCACCCCTCTCGCGCTACCACTTTGTGCGCGCCGCCGGAGGGGTTCAACATCAGACGTGAGGAGGCAGACCCTGGGAGGTTTTTGTGAGATTGATACCAGACCCCTCGAGCCATGAAATAATCACGACTGTTTTTCTTGTTTTGCTCTTTTCGGCCTCAGGGGGGACCTTACCGGGGCTCGGAGCCGTCAAAAAACGATTCAGAATCGAAGACTGGTCCCAGGGAATGAGTCGTTTTGGGGTCGACGCTGTGAAACAATTGGCCTGGCGAAGGACCCAACCATACGAAGTTGTGAATACCGCATTTGCGAATACCATCTGAGGCCGCGTTCCCTATGTAGCCACGGCTTCCCGCCAGGGCCCGACATGCTCAGGGACACGTTCGTGCCCGTCTTCGCGGAAGCCGACGACGACGAGGACGGCGCCCCCCTGACCGAGAAACAGAAGCAGGATAGGGCTCTGAGAGCCATGAGGGAGGCTGCCACTGGCGCCTTCGCTGGAGTTCCTATGGGGCCACGATCCTCGTGAGGGGTTTTCCGAAATGGCCCGAGGCCGCCTTCGGTGGAGTTCCTTTCGTGAGGGGTGTGCCGAAATCGGCCCGGGGCCGCCGTGCGAACCCTGCCGTTGGCGCCTTCGGTGGAGCTCCCTATGGGGCCACGAAGCGTGTGAGGGGTACGCAGGGATCAGGCGGCACCGGCATGCGGAACCTGCTGCTGAGGCCTTCGGCGGTGCCGCCTCGGACCGCGAAGCGTGCGAAGGGTGTGGGGGTTGGAACCTCGTGCGAACGCAGCCGCTGGGGCCTTCGGTGGAGCTCCGTGTGCGGCCGCGAAACGTGTGATGGGTGTGCCGAAATGGGGGGTGGATCCGCGTGCGCCGCGAATGCGAACGCAGCCGCTGGGACCTTCGGTGGAGCTCCGCATGGGGGCACGAAACGTGTGATGGGTGTTCCGGAATGGGGGGGTGAAACCGCATGCGCCGCAAAAGCGAGCGCAGCCGCTGGGGCCTTCGGTGGGGCTCCCTATGGGGCCATGAAACGTGTGGGGGCGTGCCGGAATCGGGGGTGGAACCGCATGCGCTGCAAAAACGAACGCCGCCATTGGGAGCTTCGGTGGAGCTTCCTATGGGGCCACGAAGCGTGTGGGGGTGTGCTGACATGGGGGGTGGAACCGCATGCGCTGCAAAAGCGAGCGCAGCCGCTGGGGCCTTCGGTGGAGCTCCCTATGGGGCCACGAAGCGTGTGAAGGGGTGTGCCGACGTGGGGATGGAACCGCATGCGCCGCAAAAACGAACGCAACCATTTCTGCCTTCGGTGGGGCTCCCTGTGGGACCATCAGACGTGTGAGGGGTGTGCCGACGCGGGGGGTCGAACCGCGTGAACCGCAAAAGCGAACGCAGCCACCAGGAGCTTTCGGTGGAGCTCCTTATAGGGCCACGAAGCGTGTGGGGTGTGTGCCGAAATGGGGGGTGGAGCCGCATGCGCCGCAAAAACGAACGCAGCCACTTGGAACTTCGGTGAAGTTCCATATGGACCATGCAGCGTGTGAGTGGTGTCGTAAACTTTGTGATGGTGATGATGGGAGGAGCGAAAAGGGGGAGGAGGAGGAAGGAGGAGTGACCGCGGGGCGCTGTCTCTTCAAAACGATGATTTCACACGTCGGGGTTTGGGTGTTGGGAGGTTTTCGTGAGAACGATCGCACGATCTCTTGGGTCATGAAAGAATGTTGCGGCGGGAGGTTTTTCGTCATGCGCGCCGACAGTCGGATCTTGAGCCTCAGAGCTGTCGCGGGACAGCGGGCTCAATCCCTGCGGCGCCCAGAGCCAGTCGCCGGCGAGCCTGGGGAAACCGAGTGCGGGCATCTGCGAGCTCTGCGGAGCCCCAACCTCATGCAGAATGGGAGAACCTTTTATCCCTAATACCGCAGTCAAGACGTAGCCTAACTTAGGTCCCCGTGCTTGCACTGGGGATAACAGATATGGGTGGCTTCGTTTGGTGCATCTGCAGGACAGGCCCCCTATCCCTAATGTTTTGGTTCTCTTAACGTAGGTCCGCCCTCACAGAGTTACGAGTCCTTTGGTTGTTCATCGCCGTCCCGCCATCTTGGGAGGCCGTCGGGAGGCTTTGCCGCCGAGCGCCAAGGGGTCAGAGGACAAATTGTCGGGTTGGGGGGGGGGTGATGGGGTGGGGATGCATGGCCATATCATCGATATTGCCGCGTTTGTTGATGGTGCTTATTACACAGTCGTGCCCTGTATCTCCGCAGCCCCTGCCTCCCAACTCGATAGTTGTCTTTCTCAAGAGGGCGTTGGGGGAGGGGGGAGGACTTCTCAGAAATACACCTACGGGCAGGCGCCTTTGAAGAAGCAGCCTCCTAAGAAGCCTTCCCTCCTCCCCCCTACCCCCTTTGTGCCTCCGAGCGCCAAAGGGGGTGCCCAGACATGCTCGCGTCGCGCCCAATCCGGATGGGAGGTCTTAGGCCATTTTCAGCCTCCCCGGACCATCGCAGGGCCCCAACAAGGTTTCGGGATGGAAAGCTGGCCACGGGAAAGGGACTTTAAGAGGCCGCGTCCATCAAACATCAGGACATCTCATGTCTTGGGTTTGAGGCCCGTCTTTTATCCCCAGGACTCGGTAGCAAATCATGGGGGCCTTGTATTCCCTCGTGACGCCGTCTTCAGAGTGTACTAGCGTCGTGTACCATAGGATGTTCGATGGGTTAGCGCCGATTTAGCGTCGATAAGCGTCGGCTAGTGTCGACCAGTGTCGATTTAACCCCGATGTAGCGTCGATGAGCGTCGATTGACGTCGATTCGCAAGAGCCAGCCACATGGTATAGGCTGCCATGAGTTGCCGCAGACGCTCCAGTTGGAGAACGTGTAATTTTATCCCCTGGCACTGGGGGAGGGGGAAGCGACACCACCACCAGGGGGGCCACCTCCAGAGAGGAGGTCCACGATGCCTCCTCGAGCTCAGGATAGGGAATGTCTCGAGCGAAAGCGGGGGGGGGGACTACAGCCAAGACGCTGAAACAATGAACAGTTTGTATTCGGAAGGGACCCGATGTTCCTTAGGTCCTTCCTTGGCTGCCTCTCTAGCGGTGCTCGTCCACGCAGGCGCCTTAGCGGCGCCTTCGGTGCCAAAAGGGGGCCTCGTTCCTTATTCAGCGATCCTTATTCAGCAACTCGACTGTACGCCACCACGGGTACCCCCCCCCCGTGGTTTCTCCCGCTGGTGGTTCCTGGTGGTGGTAGTGTCGCTTTTCCTTGGTCCTGTGGTGATAACGGGCGTGACAGGGGAGGGGGGGGGGGGCTGGTCACGTTCCGATTCTCGCAGTCGCCGTCCTGGCATGCCAAGAAGTGGCTAGTTCTCAGACGGCGGCGCCAGTGCGAGTCCGAAGGTGACCAGGGGGTGGGGAGGGGGTGGCGGGGCAAGTAATGGGCGCTATTGCAAAGAAGAACAAACATGGGCTCCAAGGATCAGAGGAGGTGAAAGTGGAGACAACGGTAGTTGGCCTTCGGGTGCCCCCGTCGTCGCCACGGATGGACCCAGCTGGGAAAATTTGTGCGTCTGGACACCTAGGGTTCCGAGGACCTATTGCGAAGGCCTTACGGCCAGTGCCGCCGACCCGCAAGGGAGACGACGACGACCACGACGACGACGACGACAACGGCGGCGGCGGCAGCGACGACGACGCTGACGTGGGCCAGAGTCCTCAGGGATGGTTCTTGGGGTCTCTTCGGAAGTCTCTCGGGGGCCTCTGGGGAGGAATTTTGGGGCCTCTTGGTAGCCTCTTTGGGGTTGGGGGCCCCTTCGGGCTTCCTGGGGACCTCTTGGGGGCCTCTTGGGGCCTCTTTGGAACCTCTTGGTGCCTCCTGGGAGCCTCTTTGGGCCGAGGGCTCGAATGTTCGTTCGGCTTCCCCGTCTGGGCACGCTTTTTGAGCTGTCTTCGGGGCCTCTTGGGCCGTCTTGGAGGCGTTTTGGGCTGCCTTAGGGCCCTCTTGGCCTGTTTTGGGGCCCTCTTGGAGGCCTCTTAGGCCGTCTTTGGGCGATCTTGGGGGCCTCTTGTGCCGTTTTGGAGCGGCGGGAAGTGGAAAAGGCGAGAACGCCCAATCTCAAAAACAAGAAAAAACAGAAAATCAATGACTGTGGCCTCTTGGGGACCCCTCGGGAGTGCTCTTGGAGGCGTCTTGGGCGTCCTGGAGGCCTCCTGGGCAGTCTGGAGGGCGTGAAGGCGTTTTGGACCGATCGTCTGGCGATCGGGGATTCTCTTAGACCGTCTCGGCGGCCTCTTGGGGCACTGTCGGCCTGTCTTGATACTTTCTCGGGCCCCAGGGCCCTCAGGGGGCAATGGGTATCTGACCCCCCCGACAAACTTGAGGAGGAGGGTGCAGGGAAGGGGGACGACGGAGACCACGACTGACGGAGACGACGACTCGAACAGACAAGCCCCTCACACACGCCGACAGGGTCGGCGGATCTTGAATTTTGAGCTGCCAGTGTCTCAACTCGCCCTCTTTGCAAGGCTGGGTCCGGGAACGTGTTCACCCCGGAGCGTCTGCAGGAGATGTGCCGCCTGGAGGCCCTGGTCTCGAGCCAGCCGTCCACCTGGGTGGTCAGCGACTCTGCGGCGCGACTCTTCTACGATGGCCAGGCGGAGCAGGACAGCTGCGCCCTGCTGGCCCAAGGCACGGTCACTGCAAGACTAGATGTGATGTTTGCGGACGTGTCCGCAAACGGTCCGAGCTCGCAGTACGCGAGATTCGTCCATCCGTCATTTGCCTCCACTGGTGAGAGCGCCTACAGCCGCACGAGCATGTCAATCACAGGCGGAGACAAGGACGAGAAAGAGCACAAGAGGGAGATCACGGAAGACGTCATCCTTTCGGATCTCGGCCTCTCTTATGGTTTTCTTCGTTCTGCATTGCAGGTTGAGGAGGACCGATTTCAGCCGTCTGGGCCGCTGAGGGTACGTCTAGCGTACAGGTCTGAAGAGATTGATTGGATGATCAATGATGATTTCACGCTGGCCTTGGGTGCAGTATTAGTTGTTTTCCTTGTGATCTACCTGCATTTGCAATCTTGTTTCCTGGCCTGCACGTCGATACTTCAGATTCTGATGTCGTTGCCAGTCGCCTCAATCTTCTACACGTATGTGTGGGGGGTGAGCTTCTTCGATTTTCTGCACATTCTGACTGTCTATCTGGTCCTCGGTATCGGGGCTGATGATGTCTTTGTGTTGTTCGACGCGTTCCGGCACGTTTCCGAGGAGCACCCATTGGGAAACGGCCTCCGTTACAGCGAGAAGACGCTTGCACATATCTTGCAGACCACCCTCGAGCGCAGTGGCCAGGCGATATTCAACACGACCTTCACCACCACCGTCGCGTTCCTGTCCCAGTCGGTATCTGCGCTCATGCCGATGAGGACCCGAGGGGCAGCACAATAATCTCAAGCAAGGTTTCCCGCCACGGGTAAGGCCCATCCCGGGGCGGCTGACAGTCTCATTCTTCGGGGGGGGGGAAATCGATGGACGCGCTTTTAGGGCCGCACCCTGAGCAGGCGTCCGCGCAAGGGAAACGAATGATCCTGGCGATCGAGGCGCCCAACCCTTGGCAGCTGCATGCAACGCGTGGGGCGCCGCGGGAATGAGGCAGCCCCGGGAAACGTGGAAGGGAGGCAGCCCCACCGCATTCGCACCCCAACCCGCTGGAGCCGTAGGCTGGGACCCTCCTCTGGCGCACGCAGTGCCACAGGGGCGTGCCGCATGGAGGCGGGGACCCCACGTGGGCACCCCATCGGAGCCGCGCGTGGGCTGCAAGCGCGCCAGCCGGAGCCCTTTTGGGGGGCACTCCACAGGCCACGAAGTGCGCGAGGCTGTGCGCCGAAGAGGGGCAGACGCGGGCACGCGGGCGCACGAGGCAGCACGGGCAGCGGCAGCGGACAGACGCTGCAGCAGCTGGCAGCGCAGCACTAGTGACAGCAGCTGCAGCAACGGCAGCGGCTAGCAGCAGCTGGGGCAGGAACGGCAGGACCGCATCCGCGGCAGCAGGGAGCGGAGCAACCGGGGCAGGGAGAGGGAATGTGGGCCTGCAGCAGAGAGGAAGCGAAGCCCCTGCGGATGGGGAAGTGTTTCTCTCCCTCGTGGTTTTGGATCGCGTTGGTGCTGTCGAGGGCCTTCTTGGGCTATCTTGGGACCATCTTGTCGCGGATCTTGGCCTGCTCTGCACCAGTTCGGGGGGGGGGGCGGGGGGCGTGCAGTCAGGGGGGTCATTTGGACCATTCGGAGACTGGCTGGGCTGGTCTAGAGGCAGCCTGCACGCCTTCCGGAGACCAGCCAGAGCCCCAGAGGGCGGTGGAGCCAGCATTCTGGAGAATTTCTTGTTCTATGTTGTTCTCAGGCTTTGTCAGGGGCCGCCTGGCGTCCTGGAACCGTCTTCAGGGCCTGCAGGCTGTTGTGGAGAGTCTCGGAGCCATCTGTGGTGGTTTCCCTGGCACAGAAAAGTGGGTTGCGCAGTTTCCGTTCACCGAAGGACGCTCGGTTATTACGCATCGACGTGCATCGCCATGAATTTCGTTTTCACGATGCTCTGGACGCCGTCTGCCCTGATAATACACCATAAGCGCCTGGAGGGCAAGAGGTGCTGTTGTCCCGGGCTCTTGGAACGCCATGAGGATCTCGGCGTGGCGGGTGACACCGACAAGGAGGGAGCCCAGGTCCAGTCACGCTCAAGGGGCGGGCTGAGCGGATGCATCGAGATGTTCCTGCAGAAGGTCTGGGGAGTACGGTCGGGATTTTTGGATAGCATGTCGCTCCGCCGGTTCTGGCCCACCACGGTTCGACGCGACAATCCCTTTCCTGGCCCCTGGGCGTCAAAGTCCCGAGCTTTTCCGAGCCCCCCGCTTCGCGAAGCGACACGCTATTCACTCGCAAGGCATAGCGTGTGACCAGGGCCGCCGCGGCGACACGCTATCTAAAAAACCGGACCTCAGCTTCGGGGAACAATCATTGGACGGGGGGTGCATCGGCTCCAAATCGCCCAGTCGTCGCCTATTGGGGCGTGTTTTCCTCTCGCTGCCCAGGAGCCGATATCCTCGAATTCGAGTGTATGCCAGCGATGCTAGGGCGCATCCCCCCTGAAGCCCCTCCTCCAGGTTTACATTCCGATGATGCGCAAGCAGGTTGCGGGTGTCCGCGTTGTCGCTTTGGTAGTAAGTATAGTCGTGCTCGCGGTGGCAATCCAGGGCGTGTACTTCACCTCCCAGTTGACGCCCCCAACAAAGGCTGAGGTGTGGATTCCTGACAATCATATGCATTTGGAGGTTTCACAGTTCTGGTCGAACACTTTCTACGAGGCCGACTACGAGAAGTATGCCATCATCACTTTCACGTGGGGCATCTCGGGCCTGGACGACTCCGAGCTCTCAGAGTATGAGCCGAGCAAGACGCCTCCGACGGCTTAACGATGCCAAAAAGGGTGCCCACCCCTCGCCCCCCCAGCCCGCTCCTGCGTCTCTAATCTGGGGCCGTCTTGGAGCTTCGGAAGCTCGAAACGGCGAGAGCGCTAAACTCCCTCAACAGCTGTTGAACATCAATGGATTTTGCTTGAAATCCTCTTGAAGCTATGGCGTCTTTGTAAATTGGTTTTAGGGTTTCAACAAATGGTCGCAGCCACGCAGAGGGCGTGCGCAGCGGCGCCCCAAATGCTCGGTCTCCAGTGCTTCTACGTGGCGGCGCCCCCGCAGACACGCAGAGGGCACGCGTGGCGACGGGGGCGTCGCCGCGCAGCGCTTCTAAAGGCCAAACGTTTTGAAAACCAATTGTTTCAATACATATATATATATATATATATATATATATATATATATATATATCTATCTATATATATATATATATTAGGCCTGCGTGGCCCATCCTGGAGCCGTCTTGAGCCGTCTGGATCCCACCTTGAGGACAGCTGGGCCCGTCCAGAGCCGTCTTGGAACGAGCTTGAGTCCTTTTCGGGCCGCTAGCGGGCGTCCAAGAAAATTGGGTTGCTGCCGTGTTTCTCGCTCTGCGCCCTGGGAATCCTTTCTGACGCCCCAGTGTGGCCTACTTCGATAGCGCATCATGGGAGCCTTGTGTGCACTCGTACTGCCGTTGTTAGGGCGCATCGCGGTGATTCGTCCGGTAATCGATGGTGTAGCGCAGATTTAGCGTCGATTAGCCTCGCATTAGCGTCGACTAGCACCGATGTGCGTCGCTGGTTACCGTCGCTTCGCAAGAGCCAGCAAGATGGTATGGGGGCTCCCATGGGTTGGCACCGAGTGCTCGGACTGCAACAAGCCTTCCGCCCTGCCTGTCCTGCCTCGAGCCTTGCCTGTCCTGCCTCGAGCCGTCCTGTCCTGCCTCGAGCCTTGCCTGTCTTGCCTCGAGCCTTGCCTGTCCTGCCTCGAGCCTTGCCTGTCCTGCCTGTCCTGCCTGTCCTGCCTGTCCTGCCTGTCCTGCCTCGAGCCTTCCAATCTTTTGTGCCTTGCCAGGTTCTCAGGAGCCCAACGCGGCCAGGACCCCACAGGGGGGGGGCCGCCGTGAGCCCGTAGAGCGGGAGCACGGCGGGTCCCCCCGCGAGGAGGAGGAGGAGGAGGAGGAGGAGGAGGAGGAGGAGGAGGAGGAGGAGGAGGAGGAGGAGGAGGAGGAGGACTCCTGCCTTGGCGACCCTGGGCCTCCCGGGGGGCCTCCGGGGGTCCCTTTCGGGCCTCTGAGGGCCCCTTTGGGCGCCTCCTGGCTGGGCGAGAACGCTAAAGACCTTCAACCATCCGTGGGAAATCATGGCCTTTTGCTTCGGGGGGGCCCTCTGGGGGGTCCTCGTGGAGCTCTCTTGGGGCGTCTCGGCGGCCCCTTGGGCCGTTGTGGCCCATCTTGAAGCCGCCTTGGGCCGTCTGGGGCCCGTCTTGGGGACAGCCAGGCCCGTCCGGAGCCGTCTTGGACCGATCTTGAAACATTGGGCCGCCAATGCGCCTCCCAGAGAATTGGGGTGCTGTGGGATCTCGGCGTGACTCGCGCACTGCGCCCCCCAGAGATTTGTGGTAAGGTTCCAAATTTGCCTACTCAGGCTTTCGCACGCCTTTCAGTCTTCCTACCCTGTCTCAAGCCTTGCGTTTTTGCTAATTTGTCACATTCTCGCATTCGATTTGCCAAGTTCTTAGGAGCCCAGGGCGGCCTGGGCCCTCAGGTGTTCCACGTTTCTCCAGACCGGTGTTTTGCCTTCGCGCTACCAGTCCAGAGGCAAGGAAGGGAGACCCAGATGAACGCGCGCTGGAATTGCACGTGGTGAAATCTTGCACCCTGCAAGTGCAGATCAAGGTAGCTATATCCTGTAACCTCTACCACTTCTGGGCATCGCTCTGAGACACTGGGCGCTCGCCCATGAAACGATGGGCGGCTCGTTGGCTCCCCAGGCTACGTTTGATCCTGCCTTCGACATCACCACTGCCGCGGCGCATGCAGAGATCCTCGAGGTCTGCGCGGAGATGCAGACCCTCAAGTGCCAGCTGGAGGGCTGCCAGGGCTACGGGGACACCCTGATGATCAGCACCCAGGACAAGGCGTACTCGTGCTTCCTCGAGGACGGCTCCGATGGGGAATGGGTGAGCTTGTAGGCGCCCAGGGGGGGGGGATACAGCGAGACGGCCAAAGTCGCCAGCGTCTCCAGCCTGGGCGCGAAGATAGCACATCACACGCTTTGCGTAATGAGCAGGTCGTCCTACAAAAAAGGTAGTCGTTACCAACGTGTGACGAAACATCACGCGTTATTCATGGCAATTGGTAGTCATCAGAGCACGTGTGATGATACGTCGAGCGTTTTTTTGTATGAAGACAACCGTTTCCTTTCAGGACTACCTGTTGTCACAAAACAGAGGCAAGAACGTGTGCGGTCTCCTTCCTGCGCTCCGCGGCCCGGGCCGCAGAGCCGCGCCCTTCTCTGGGAGGGGGGAGCGGCGCGCGTGCGCGGAGGCGAGCGCTCGCCGCGTGGCTCGGGGCGCAGCGGTGGGTGGCCTGCGGCAGCCAATCGAAGGGGCCTCGTTCAGGCGATCGCAGACATGGATTAAGGGGGCGTGGATCAGCGACGGGTCCCGTTTCCACTGGAAATCGCCGATTTCCGATGCCGAGCGAGGCGGCACCGGCCGCATGTTGGGGAGGGCACCTCCCCCGATCCATGGATTTGGCGAGCGCGCGCCAAATCCATGGATCGCTAATCCATGTTTGCGCGCCCCCGACTGGTGTGCTGTCTTGAGGACAGCTGGGCCCGTCCAAAGCCGTCTTGGAACCAGCTTAGGCCATATTTGGGGCCGCTAGTGGGTGTCCAGGAAGATTGGGTTGCCGCCGTGCTTCTCGCTCTGTGCCCTGAGAACCTCCTCAGAAGCTCCAATTTGGCCTACTTCGGTAGCAAATCATGGGAGTCTTGTGTGACATCGTAGTTCCGTCTTCAGGGTTCATTCGCGTCGGCCAGCGTCGGGTAGTCGATGAGATGGCGCCAGTTCAGCCTCGATTAGCGTTGACTCGTGTCGATTAGCGTTGATCAGCGGCGACTAGCAGGAGCCCGCAGGATGGTGTGGTAGGCTCCCATGAGTTGTCACCGAAGGTGGCCTGGTGGCCTCATCCGTGTCGGTCCAGGGCCTGTGACCGTGGGGCAGGGGCGTGTTGCCCCTGCTCTGCCGCCTGCCCCTGCGGACCCCTCCCGTCCCCTCGGAGGAGGAGGAGGAGGGGAAGGAGGAGGAGGAGGAGGAGGAGGACGTGGAGGAGGAGGAGGAGGAGGAGGAGGAGGAGGAGGAGGAGGAGGAGGAGGAGGAGGAGGAGGAGGAGGAGGAGGAGGAGGGGGAGGGGGAGGGGGTGCATGGGCGAGGGGCCGCTCTCCCGTCTTGTCTCTTCTCCGAGGCCGGGAGTTCTATAGCCATGCAGCCACACCGGGGACTCGACAGACGCGAAGCCGACGACGGGGAAGCCGACGCCCCGCGCGCGGCATCCAGAGCTGTCGAGGCTCAAGGCGCTAGATCACGCAAGGCTGCTCCCAGGTTCGGCAAGCCCCGGGGAGCCCAGCAGCAGGGCTGGAAAACTGTCCCTTTCACATCTTGTAGTCTCCTCCGAGGCCGGGATTACAGTCGGCCCGGATTAGGAGATCAAGGGTACCCGTGTGTCCTGTGTCTCGCGACCCATGCCTCCTCTAATCCTTTGGCAATGTGGCCCTCGGAAGGGTCTTGTGTCCTCTCGCGTGTCCTGTCCAATGAAGTCCGACTATATGTCCATGACCGCCGCCTGGGGGATCGATCTTGGGGAACCTCGGCAGGCGGTGGATATGGTTACACTCGGGCCTCCTAAGGCGGAAAGGTACTCATATTCACCGCCCGCTGGGGTCCCAGGACGTCGGTTTCCCAGGCGGTGGATATGGATATAGTGGACAGGATGCGTCAGAGTGGGCAGTAGGTGGATACTCGGAACATGCCACCAAAGGCAGGGATCTTGGCCTGGATGTAGATGGCTCGTCTGCCACACTCTTATTGCGCAAAGCTTCTGATTAACTCTGATAGCATCAGCTTTCGGCCCCCACCTAAGGTGATGTGGAGGAGGAGGAGGAGGAAGAGGAGGAGGAGGGGAGGAGGAAGAGGAGGAGGAGGAGGAGGAGAGGAGGAGGAGGAGGAGGAGGAGAGGAGGAGGAGGAGGAGGAGGAGGAGGAGGAGGAGGAGGAGAGGAGGCGGAGGAGGATGGGGAGGAGGAGCAGGAGGAACGTGAGGAGATCTGGGAGCAGCAGCAGCAGCAGTGAGTCACGAGTTCTGGAGCTCTCCCGCGATATCAGAACTTCAGGCTTTGTCGGCGATCTCACCGCGTTCAGATGCAGACCGACCGGCACCAAACGCGCCAACCCGGGCCAACCCGGATTGACACCAGCAGTTGTGTAGTCATTCATAAGATTCTCAGAGGGTCCCGACGTTCCCTGCGGCCTTGTGGATTCCGTCCAGACTTCGCAGGATTTGGTAAGCATCTGGACGAAATCTGGACGACACCTGAACGACACCTGGACAACCGGGTGACGGGTGGTGGTCGAAGTCTGTACGAGACCCAGGGTCCATAGATGCTCCCATGCAGGCTCACCAAGCCGCCATACTCCAGTACACACTGTTCGTTTCTAATTCTTTGAGGGTTCTTTGATTTTCAGGGGGCCAAGATCCTGTCATTTCTAATCGTTCTATCCTGGGCCTCTTCCTGACCACTAGGGGGCCAGGAACAATTAGAAACGAGCACAATTAGGAATGAGCACGATTAGAAATGAAGGACGTGTAGTGCTGCAGTCCGTGGCGACCTTCTCTCAATGGGGCTTCGGGCAGAGCCAAGTCTGTGTTCTGGGCTGTGGTGGTGAGCGACTTAAAGTATGTTGGAGCAGTAGTAGTACAGCATGTCGGTGAGAATAGCGCAGGTGTGTGAGGAGACGCGATTTCCCAACGCGGTGTCCTTGTGCGTGCCCCGGTCGGATATCTACATAATTGCAAATGACCGCCGCGGACAGTTGTGGCAGAACGCGCGCTGGTGCAGCCAGGCTCGTGACACGTCGGGCTACGACAGCCAAGTAACGGAACCCAATCGTGGCTGGCTGCAGATCGTCATACTTCTTTGTAGCAAGACATGCTTTCGACGCTCGAGGCAGAGGGTACATATGAGGATCGTGAGGAAAAGGAGGGGGAGGAGGACGAGCAGGCAGAGGAACAGCAAAAGGAGGAATTGCGTAAGTGGAGACGGACATAAGGGACGAGTAGGATGATGCGGAGGAGGAACGGACAGACGGCTAGGAGGGAGAAGAGGCTGGCCTTCTTGCGTTGCCAAGGACATGAAGGATTACTTCGGAGGAGGCGCCTTGCCCACGGGCGACGCCTTCCTCGAAAAGCTCGAGGAGTTCATTGACGCGTTCCCATTCGTGGGGTCAACAGAGAAGTGCCCACCACCACTGGGTAGCAAGCCCGCCTGTGGATTCTGTGGTAGAGGAGGACCGACGATACAGGTGTCTGACGGTTTGGCTTTTTCGGGGTTTACGGGAGCCTCCTGGGGCCCCGAGGCTTCACTCCAGATACCTCTGGAGAGTAGTCGGGACGGGGTAGTCCGAGGACAAGGAAAGGAGGATAACTAAGAGGCGGAGTGAGAGATCGAGGCAGTGGATGCGGATGAGGAGAAGGAGGAGGAGGAGAAGGAGGAGGAGGAGGAGGAGGAGGAGGAAGCGGAATGGAGAAATGAGAAAGAGAGAGAGAGAGAGAAGCGGAGGGCGCAATATAGACTTGTGTATGCTACTCATATATATATATATATACACATACGTCGATTCATACACATCTATACACAGGAGCAGTTTTGTGGGCCCCTTGGACCGTCTTCGTATGTTAGAAACCCGACAGGGAAAGAAAGGCAACATCTGTTCAAAAACCAATCGATGATCTATGATTTTGGCTTCTTGGGAGCGTCTTGAGGTCTTTTTGGGACCCTTTGGGCGCGTCTTGGGGCCATGCTGGGCCGTCTTGAGGCTATCGTGAGAGAGAGAGAGAGTGGCAGAAGGCGAGCCATACATATACACATTTTTATTTATATACGTATATACATGCGAGTCCGCACATACACACATACATGTATATACCTGTAAACGTGCATGCGCACACGCATACACACCATATGTTTATGTTTCAGATTATACATAGAGGGAGAGATGGAGGGACTCACACACATATGCACTCATACATGCCGATATGTAAGTACAACTGTACACATATCCATGTTAAGAAGGATGAGGGGGAGATATTTACGTGTCGATCCATGAGCGCATCTGTACATGTGTATACACATCCATGAGAGAGAACACATAGGGGGAAAGAGAGAGAGAGAGAGGGAGAGGGAGAACGAGAGAGAGAAAGAGGGAAATCAAAAAAGAAACAGAGAGAGTCAAGAGGGAGGGCGACAGAAAGTAATAACTCGGTCTCGTCGCGAAAGTATAACTCGCGACCCCCCCGTTCTGCACTCAAACACTCCGGTGGGAACCAGCAGCTCGTATCCACGCCCACCTCTCCTCGTTCCGCCCCCCCCACTTCCGCTTCTCCACCCATTCCCCTTCCTATCCTCTTCCTCTTGCTGGGAGGGCGGCGTGAGGCATTTTGCTGTTGGCCCCCCGTCATCCGATCAGTATTCCACCGATGTGTGCCCAGCAGCGTATCAATACGACATTGGGTATATCGGTGACGAGTTGAAGTACGTCTCCGTCAAGCTCCGGACGCGCCTCGCCTTGAACGAGCCGTATTCCACGGGCGTCGATGTCCGTGACATGATCCAGGAAAGGGCGGCCGACCATGAGCTAGATCATCCGTTGGGGCGCGAAGACAACCGCGCTTTACGCCTCCTGGTCTAGGACGGATTGCTGTCATTCTTCAGGGGGTGGCACGAGAGCGCGAAGACAATCGCGCTTCGCCCAGCGACAAGCGCGAAGCTAGTCGACCGAAGTTGACATCGCCCACAGCACAGATCCTCGCGGGACGACTTTGACTGGTTGCTTCACCATCTGGTTTCGCGAATATGATCTATATCCATGTCGGCATATCTGACCACATGTATAGTTGATGGATGTATGTATTTTATGTTTTTGAATGTGTATAAGCACACATTTGGTTCATACGCACATAGGTACACACGGTCTTATCTACACATATTTTTTAGAACCACATAAGCACATGCATACACATAGTTACATGCATAGACAGATGCGCGCATGTCACACCAACGCGCACATTCGTGGACAAAAGATACAGATACAGAGCAGAGACAGGCCAGACCCGCCTGGCTGATTTGACGGCGCCCCGAGAGAGCCCGAGGCTGCCCGAGGCACCCCGAGCAGGGGCCAAACGGCGCCCGCAGAGAGCCCGAGACGGGCCCTGATCTCTCCAATACGGCCTCCAGTCGGCCCTGCACGGCCCCAAAACGGCCCCGAGGCCAAGACTTACCACAGCTTTCTGACATCGTGGAGGCATTTCAGCCTCCCCGGCTTTTCGGTTTTGGGCGATTGCAAGAGGCCCGCCCGGGAGCTCGAGAGCGCTCAAGACGGCCCTCCCCGAGGGCTCAGAGTGTGTTCGCAGACAGCTCAGGGCGGCCCCAGTAGAGCGTCAAGGCTGGCCGCCTGGGCTCCCAAGTGGGCCCAAGACGGCCCAAGAGGGCCACAAGAGGGCCCAATACGGCCTCCACAGCTTTTCCAGACGCCCTCGGGCAGCCCAAGGCGGCACGCTGTGGACGCGCGACTGTCCAAGGGGCCTCCGACAAGGCCCCCAGGCCGCTTCACCACACCTACACGACTGCTAAATTAGAACTGCGAGTCTTTGGCCACCTCGGGCTCCAGAAGGGGCCTCACGGAGTCGTCTGAATCGGGTACACACTATCGGTTCTTGGTGTTGTTTGGCCTCTCGAGTGCTTTTCAAGCCCCCTCTTAGACCATCTTGGCGCTCTTTGAGGCCTGTAGGAACGCCTTGGGGCTTGGGCCGTCTTGTGGTCGCCTTTGGGTTGTTTGTGTTCGTCATGGACCCTCTGGTGGCGCTCTCTGGCCCCCCTACTCGGGCTGTCCTGGGCTGCCTTGGGCTCTCCCAGGGCGTCTGCGAATCCACCAGGACAGTCTGGATCCACTCTGTGCTCGATCGTTTGTCTATGTAGGTAGATGCATAATGACCGCATCAGGTCAGCTATAGTCGGCGGTCGGGCTGCGTTTCTGGTTTTCGGAAAGCAAGCTTGGGGACTGAAAGCCCCCATGATCTGGCACGAAGGTCATTGATAGAGTAGTCTCAGGAAGTTAGGGAACAACAGCCAGATTCATCCAAGTTGGTTTGGGGCTGCCCCCCATCAGTTAAAGCTTTTTCCGTGCTCGTTTGGGAGACATACTTACTTGGCTCTCTGGAGGGTAAATGTGCTGCAATGTCTGCCCTCCCCCTGCAAGATTGAGGCAAGGGTGATGGGTGCGAAAGTGTGCTTCACCAGGATTTCGTCGACAGGAGGAAGGCTGGTGCGCCTAGTGGGCTGAAGAGCATGTCGTTCACCAACGATGACGGGGTGCTCGCAGGGTACGACCTGTCCGATGAGCTTATCACAGGCTTGCTGTCCGGCATCGCCATATCCTTCCCGCTTTCTTTCATCGTGCTTTTGGTTTCGACTCGCAACCTGGTCCTGTCCTTCTACGCGGTGTTCTGCGTGGGCGGCATTGTGGTGTCCGTCCTCGGTTTCTGCAAGAGCGCAATGGACTGGGACCTGGGGATTGGTGAGGCCGTCGCAGGCGTCATTATCATCGGCTACTCGGTGGACTATGTGGTCCACCTGGCAGTCATCTATCGCGAGGCCGCCGACCACGGACACATAACCAGAGATGCTAGAACGACCTTTGCCGTTCAAAATATGGGATCCACCATATTTGCTGGTGCGCTGACGACGGCGGGCTCGGGCATGATCATGTTCTTCTGCTTCCTCGTGTTCTTTCACAAAATGGCAATTCTGATTTGCGCAACGATCATGTTCTCGTTCCTCTTTTCCATGGGGTTGTTCGTAGCCCTGCTATATCTGGTGGCTGGCCGACTTAACGTCCAGGGGTAGCCGAGGAGGAAGTGAGGAAGGAGGAGGAGCACGAGGAGGAGGAGGAGGAGGAGCATCGGAGGATGTGGTGGAGGAAGAATTGATGAGAGGAGGGGGAGGAGGAGGAGGAGGAGGAGGAGGAGGAGGAGGAGGAGGAGAGGAGAAGGAGGAGGAGGAGGGAGGAGGAGGAGGAGGAGGAGAGGAGGAGGAGGATAAGGAGGAGGAGGAGGAGGAGGCAGAGGTGGAGGAGGAGGAGGAGGGGGAGGAAAGAACGCCGCATGCTGTCGCGTGAGGTCCGCGCAGCGTAGAGGGAGGAGGAGGAGGAGGAGGAGGAGGAGCGTCAGGGGTCAAGCGTAAGCGTAAGCTTTAGCATACCCGTACGCGCGCGCGCGCCCGCAGGTTTGCCCGCTTACCGGGCCCAGGTTTGCCCGCGATGGCTTCCGCATCCGAGATCCGCCAACTTATGACGGAGTGCAACAAATCATTGAAGGAGGAGCTGACCAAGGACATCATGGACCAGGTCGGCAAGCTGAGCGAGGAGAGAATCCACAATAGGCTGAAGAAACACGAGGAGGACGTGACCCGCAAGCTCGAGGCCTTGCAGGCGCGCGTGGACGCTTGGGAGGGCATGGGACACGCCCGCCCAGAATGATGTTGGATACCAGGGAAATGCAGCAAAGCGTGCACGTTCTGAACCTCGCCGGCCTGCCGCTGGCGCTCACGAGACGAGGCCTGTGGTGATCCTCGCCGGCTTCCCCACGAATTCACGGAAGATGAACATCGAGGATTTTTTGAAGACGGAGCTCGCGAAGGAGGAGAGCTGGAAGAACCTGGAGGCGGTTGCACCCAACGTGCGCTCCACCGTGGCTATGGTCAGGGCTCCTTCGAAGCAGACCGTTTTCGACTTTATCGCACTTTGGAAGAGCAAGGACATCAAGTTCAACGGCGCCGCCATCCGCGCCAAGGTGGGCGGGGATACGGGAGGAGGATATTGACACTTTCCTTGCGCAGGTATTTGGTGATTACTCATGGGACATAATTTGCTTGCAAGAAAGCTTCACGCATGTTGATGGCATCAAGCAGGAGGCTCACCATCTTACGTTTGTTGCTGCTGGCCCACGGTGTGGGAATTTGAAGCGGCCGGCAGTCATCGTCAACGAGTGGTGGCGCGACAAAGCTGATGCTATCAAATTCGCTAGGGATGGATAGCGGTGGGTCGCAGCGCACTTCAGGACGCAATGGTTGATCATCTCGGTGCACTTGCCGTATTGCTGTCGCTCGTTGCCGGTCCAAGTTTTCGCGGGCACGTTGGCGGAAATCACGGACCTCATCCAGCAATTCAAGGACAATGATATCATAGCCGGCATGGGCGCGAACACTTGCATGCATCAAGTTGTGGATGTTTGCCACGTGGGCGATGAGGTCCCTAGGTCTGAGAGGGCACCGCGCGCCCAGGACCTCGAGCGAGCAGGGCTGCTCCATCAATTTCTCTCCCAGCACGGCCTTCACTTCTCCAGTGCATTCTCCAACGGTTCTGGCATGTACTTCGCAACCCGCGCGAAAAACGGAATGTTGAAGGTCTCCCGGAAGAAGGACATACTCAAATCGATTTGATCGCTGTATCGACGGGGGTCTGTTGTTTCGAAATGAATTTTAATCAGTGCACGGATTTCTCCACAGATCAAAAGATCGTGTTTGCGGAGCTCCGAGTGGACCACGAGGCCCCCAAGAGCACGTCTGCGATTACTAACCGAGGATGGGCTCCAGGGGAAACGTGGAGTGCAACACTGGGTACATTCTATTGGCAGTGGCAGGATTGGGATAGCATTGCACACGAATGGAGAGATTTCGCACATGGCCATGGCTGGAGGCGGCGCCGCCACAAGGACGAGTATCTGCAATAATTGCTTGACAGACATTCCGTAGCGTCAGCCGTTGAAACAACTGGTTACTGAACAGACAGATCTACCGACACCGCCGCGCCAGCGTGAACGCGCCAAGAAATTCATAGAGGAGGCGGCCCGCTCAGGCCGTTTGCCGCAGGACTCCTGGAGGAACGCGACAGTGAACTGGAGCAAATTGTTCGGCATTTCGGACCTGGTCTCGGCCTTGCACGACCGATGCAGCACCATCCAGTACATGAGCGACGCGGACAAGACAGCAGAGCACCCTGAAAAAACAAAGGTGGGTGAATACTTGGAGGGATCTGCGGATAGACATGGTGCCCTGGCGGGTCTCCGAGGCATGGCTACGCAAAGCTCTTGGGAAGCCGAAGCCAGGCAAATCCAGCCCAGACGGATGCACGGCAGAGATGCGCGGGCAATTGCCCCAGCCGGCAGTCGTGTCTTCAGCCGTATTGATCTCCAGCGTCTTTGCATCATTATGTTTCCTTGTGGTGTGGATGCGCATGATGGCCGTGGTGATGCCCATTATCTGCAACGTGGCATCACTGGATAAGTGTCGCGGGATTACATGCTTGTCCACTGCGCGGAAATCGGCCGGATATCCGTGGATGCACATGTCAGCACCTTTGAAATTCGAATCTATCCAAACGGGTTTTGCGCCTGGGAGGCATGCCGCGCACGGTGTATATGCTCTTCAGCGCGCAGCCGAGTTGAGCAGGAAATGGGGGAAGAGCCTGTACGTAGTGCACTTGGACCTGAAGAAGATTTTCGGTGACGCGTTGCGTTCAGCTGTTCTTCTAGCTCTGAAGCTACAGGGCGCCTCGCTTCAGTGCCTGGCGGTCTTGAGCACGATGCTGTTGAATGCAGAGATCTCCTACGCCCTGGGCGACGTGGCCAGGCAGGCCGTGCACCTGGACATTGGCCTCCCGCAAGGCGCTCCGGAGTCGCTTCTGCTGTTCGTACTTGTGACAGAGATGGCCCTCAGACCGTTACTGAAGAAGTGGAGAAAACGGGAAAAGCTGTGTTGTTCATGATTTCTGGCTCAAGGAGGTGGCCTTTGCTCATTGGTCCGAAGGATGCCCGTGCCCGGTGCCAGCCAAGGTGAGATGGGCCGTCCGGGGGACTGGGCGCTTGCTATGGTGCCCGGTCAGCTTGCCCCGCGCGCGCCAGTGCAGCATCCGCGCGTCAAGACGCAACGGCGCGCTCGATGGTTGGGTGTCTGATTGCAGCGACAAGCGCTGGTTTTTGTTAGGGACGTCTCGGGGCATCGTGGTGCGTGCGCGGTTCAAAGCCGCCCATATGTGGCGGCGCCTGTCCCAATCGATAAAGAGTTGCATGTCCTCGCTATCCTGGCAACAAATGCGTCTGGGCCTGCCCTGAGGAACGACGTTGCAATGTCGCGCCCCCAGGGGGCCGCAGCGGCGATGTCGGGGACGGATCTGGAGGGCATGATCTGTGCTCGAGAGGTTTCTGGGCCTGCCGCCACCTCGGCTAGGTGCGGGGACCTGCCTGAAACCACCGAAACATACCCGGACCTAGCTGGGGTGAGCTGCGGCACCCCGGCTAGGTACGGGTATGTTTTTTGGGTTTTCATGGAGCAACCGTACCTAGCAGGGGTGATCCGCAGACGGCCGTCCAAGGGGGGCGGCCTCTGGCGACCTCGCCCAGGGCACAGATTCGCCATGTCTCTGCATCGAGCAATTCGCGATAGGGCGGTTGTCGCGCAATGACGTTCGCGCCAGAGTTGTTCGAATGCGCCCCCGAGTGCGCGTTGGCTCCTCAACGCCCGGACGTGTGTCTGGGGGCGCGCCTCCGCAGTAGCTGGTCTACATCGACAACAACCAACGCAGGGTCGGGCTCTCCGCCGATTCGAACGCACGTGCGATCGGTGCTAACGTGCGCCCCGGGAAGGCAGCGGTCTGCAATGCTCGATCGGCTTTCGTTTCTACACTTGTGCAGCCGCCGTCAGCTGCGACGAACCGCCCCCCCCGGCCTCTTACCACCCTGTCTAGGTAAGGGTACGGGTATCTTTCGCGCTCGAGATTTGCGGATGATATTCTGCTCGGGGGTTCGTCGCTCCGAGAGGTTCGATCCATGTTGCAGGATATCATCGAAGCCTTTGCTGTGGTCGGCCCTGAAATTGGCGCGGGGAAGACGCGTTGGAGCTCGTGGCCACGGACGCCGCTGCTGACTTTACGCGTGCAGGGGGAACAGGTGGCGCGCTCGCCGCAGTTTGTTTTCGCTGGCAAAGTCGTCGACTTTTCCGGCGGCACTGGGGCCGCAATGGAATGCCGCATGGCGCAGGCGAACAAGGTGTTCTACCCGTGGAAGAAGATCTTGCAATGCCCTTCTGTGTCGTTGCGACGGCGGTCTGCTCTTGCTGCTCAAGTTCTGACGTCCTCCCTGCTATGGCTAGCAGAGATTGACATCCTGCGAAAGCCCAGACGCGGACCCTTGATTCATTGGCAAAGCGCACGTTAGCTGCTGTGGCAAATGTCCGTCGGGCACCAGACGAGGAGATCGATTCCTACTGGAGGCGAATGCATCGTCGTGGTCAACGACTCTTGGAAGAGCGTGGCGGTGCAGCAAGCCGGATGAGGCGGTTGCGAGTGCGCATATTCGAAGGACAGCTCGCACGCATGAGTGGCATCTGCCGCGTCACTCTCCGGGCGCGGTGTCTGGCCTGGTGGAGGTACCGGCAGGCGCGGCTTCGCAGCAAGCATTGCGGGGCCCAGCAGGCCAGGTTCAAGGCTTGGCGTTGGGAGTCGCAATGAACCAGTGTTTACGGAGAGGCTGAATGCGAGGATCCATTCCACAATGTTGGATGGGTGGTGCTCGCTCAAGTCAGAGCCGGCTGGCGAAGCTCTGAAGAGGCTTTCGCTGATGCTTGAATGTTCTGATCCTTGTCTCCCGTTCCCTTTGCTCTGCTCCTGCCCCCGTTCCGCCCTCTGCTTGTCCGTCTGCTCTCTCGTCGCCGTCTACTCCCTCGTCCTGCCGCTGCTGTTGCTGTCGCACACATTGCACTGACCGCCTTGTTCACATGTTTACCTAACGGCGAAGACTGATAGGTTTCTAGTGGAGTCAAAA